TTCATAACCAGAGCCAGAGCATAAGCAGCAGGTATTACTATTTACAATTCCCCAATTGATAAGCCTGTCGTTTGTAAGCAATCGATTTTGGATTGCTAACCAACTGATGAAGGAATGTCTGGGGATGTTGCTGAGCTCCCAAATTGTGTTATGCCAAGGTACTAGTGCTGAAGCAGGGGAGAGAGTAGTATAAAGAGCTGATATTCTGATTTTGAAATTCTTGCAACAGGATTGAATGAGAAGCTTCAAATTATTAACTCCATTATATAACCTCAGAGCTTTATCTCTAGTTTTCAGCATCTGTTTCCACATCCAAGAATCACCATTTTTTGCTTTGACAAACCAGATATCATTATGCTTTAAGTATGTACTATGGATCCACTTTATCCACAAGCTTTCCTTATTTTCATGAATATGCCACAGAATTCTCAAGATATGTACTATGGATCCACTTTATCCACAAGCTTTCCTTATTTTCATGAATATGCCACAGAATTCTCAAGATAAAAGCCACGTTCCACATAGAAGCTGAATATATGCCAAGTCCACCATTTTTCCTGCTCAAGCAAGCTCTCTCCCATGAGATGAGGGGGATTTTTTGTACCTGCTCAGAATTACCCCACAAGAAATTTTTGCACAACTCATCAATCTTCTTAAGTACTCTCACTGGAAAGAGATAATTTGATGTCCAATAGATTTGTATACCAAGCATCACACTCCTAATGTATTGCAATCTACCTGCGTAAGACAGACCCCTATTTTTCATGCAATTCTGAAATTGTCCAGAGATTTTATTAAGGAGAGGAGAGCAGTCCATGAAAGATAGTCGCTTGCATATCATAGGGACACCAAGATATTTAATCGGCAAGGCGCCCTCAGGGAAGTTCAATAAGCTCTTGACAGTGTTTTTGAAATTTTCATCAACTCCTCCGTAGAAGATTTTACATTTCTCAAGGTTGGCTTCCAAACCTGAAACAACACTGAATTCCCTGAAACAATTGAAGAGCTTACTCACTGAATGTAAGTCTCCTTTTGAAAAGAGTAGAAGATCATCAACAAAGATTAGATGAGTAATCTTAAGTGCACCACATCTCGGATGGAAATTAAAGGATCTATCCTCTTTAAGTTTAGACAGATTTCTAGATAAGTACTCCATCCCCAAAATGAACAAATAAGGTGATAGGGGATCACCTTGTCTTAAGCCTCTTTCTCCCTTGAAGTAGCCATGGAGTGAGCCATTTAATGAAATTGAGTATTTGGGAGAAGATATACATGCCATGATCCATTTTGTCATATTGTCAGGGAAACCAAGGCCTTTTAACATATCCTTTAGAAAACCCCAATTAATAGTATCAAAGGCCTTTTTTATGTTAATACTTAGCATAACTCTAGGGGAAATGTGTTTCCTATTGTAGTTCTTCACTAGCTCATGAGCAAGTAATATATTGCTAGAGATATGCCTCCCTTTCACAAAGGCACTTTGTGCCTCATTAACCAGATATCCCATAATAGGCTTGATCCTGTTGGCAATGATTTTAGAAATAATCTTATATAAGCAGTTGCAACATACAATTGGCCTAAAATCAGATGGAGTTTTGGGACAGGTCACTTTTGGAATCAATGTGATACCTGTAGCATTAACAGCCCCTAAGAGCTTACCTGTCTTGAAAAATTCTTCAATTGCTAAGGTTATTTCATCTCCAATTACACTCCATGCTGATTTGTAGAAAGACATATTATAACCATCAGGTCCAGGAGCTTTAGAGGGAGTTTATTGTGAGGGAGTGAGAGATTGTAGGTTAGGGTTATTTTGAGTGTTTGAGAGAGTTATAATCCATTGTATTTCTCCTCCATATAGTAAAATCCCATCATCCTCTCCCCGAAGACTTAGGCAATTGCCGAACCACGTAAATCTCTGTGTTTGTGATTGATTTTGGCCTTTTTTTTGTGAATTGCACTTGTTAGTTGTTTCTTCTCTCTTGTTCGCCGACTCGTGTGGATGTTTAGTTCGCGAGCACGTTTCTGCCGAGCGCGCAACAAATCAGACTCAAGCGAATTTTATGATGTAATTTCTAATTATAAAATGTATTACTGCAATCTTCGATCCAGCAAACTAGGATTAAATAAATTGCTAAAACAATGATAATTTATTTTAGCACTTGGTCGCGTAGGAAATTCTGAGCTTTTCATAAGATTGGAACATATTTTTAACAATACATTATACATAAGCAAAGTCAGCTCAGATCATGATAAAATAGTTACTTAAACAGTAAATCAAGAAAAAAATAAATAATAATATTGTGGATCTCACAAAATCATCCGATAGCTCCATATATCATCTACTAGAATCACGAAAGTATCCTCTCGTAAAATATGATGGCCAGAAAATGCCACATCATAAAGGACCCCCACTACACACCTAACGTGAATCATTGAACAAGAATAATTAATTTAAGGGATCAATGAACAGTATTTAGAAACATAATATTCATGTTATTAAGAATATAAAAATAAAAATAAATACATATAGGCATATACCTCAAGTAAGAATTTATCGGATGTCTTCAAAGCAAAATTCTTCTCGATGACTTAGCACCCACTGATAACAACGTAATTCGCTAATTGGAAAAGAAAGTAAATTTTTTACGAAAATCACTAATAATCAGATCGGAAGGAAGAAGAGAGGGAATTCTAGCAATTGGAGGGCAAAATATATTTGGCGTCAATCCTGCAGGAAAAATAAAACAAAACAAAAAAAAAAAAAACCCCACCGAACAGTCTGCAACCTCGAGAGAACAAAAGGGGCAATGATGGTAACATTACATTAATCCCCTTTAAATTCGATTCCCTTGTGAAAAAACCCTTATATATATGGGCGGGGAATGATAAGGGCATTGTCCTGAGAGTTTCGTTCCTCTTTGGCATTAATGGAAAATCACAGATGAATTTTGAGAGGTCCAAGAAGATTGAAGGCCGTTAAAAAGTGTCGTGACATCATACATCTTCATTTATAATCTTGGCTGAAATTTGCCACCAAGCGGTAAAAACCTGCTTTGGGCTAAATTTTCTCCGGTAAAAAGAATTTGTTAATATAGCTCTGAAAATAATCAATATCCTCGTGTGTTTTTTTTTTCTCAAATTCAGAGAAGCCCTTATGCTTTATCGTACATTTCTATGAAACCCTCGAAGGGTATTTTGTTTCCTTATACAAATTGTTTTTTCCTTGAAGCGAAAAAGGATTGTCATTCCCACCATTTTCACTACGGGTGGTAAACAATCGAATCGAAGCGAACAAGCACTTATTCGAATTCGGATTCGGTCCATTTCTACATATACGAATTCATGATCATATTCGAGTCGAATACTAAATGACCATTCAAATTCGATTCAACAATATTTATTCGCGTTCGATAATTATTCGTGAATATTTATTTAACAACAAACTGCGATTTTCCCTGCATTATTCGTTTAATATTCGGTATCGATTCGTCAATTATTCGAAATGGATAAATCAATCTCTGATCAAAATTAAAAAAAAATTATAACTTTAAGCCTCAACTTACATTTTGATGAAGGGGTCGCTGGTTGGGGAGGTAGAGGTGAAGCCAGTGGAGTTTCGTCGGGTTTGGGGAGGTAGCGACTGATGGAGAACCTGATGGTGAAGCCGAGATGACTAAAGTGCTGATGAAGACCCGATTCGGAGATGAAGAGTCAAGATTCGAGGAAGGATCAAGAGGGAAGAGATCGAGACCGTCGAAACTCAAGGCCAAGGGGGTAAATCAGCAAAGGCTGAGGGAGACTGCGAGAGTGTGAAGGATTGGTCGGCGAGAGGGAAGAGAGTGGAGCTTGAGTCTGCCGACGAAAGGGAAGAGGCCGAAGCTTAACTGAGAGCTCTTGATCTGCCGACGAGGGGAAGATCTGCCGACAAGGGGAAGATTGGTGGAGCTTGAGTGAAGGTTCCCTAGATTCCATGACTCCATCAACTTAAGTATTTATATGGGGTAATAGTTGTAAATAAAAATTTTGATAGGTAATATTTACAATAAGTTTAATTGATAGAACTAAAATGTAAAAAATTATCGAATAGTTAATAATCAACCAAATCGAACGTAACTTTGATTAAATTCTATTCATTTATAAGCTGAATATTAAAAATTATTTGTTTAGTATTAAATGAATGATCGAATCGAACTTGACCGAATATCTGGACTAATAATAACCGAACTGTTTATTAATTATTCGGTTCATTTCCACCCCTAATTTTCACTTGCTATTTATTTTCCCAACTTCCTTATTATTTTTCCTAAAAGCTTCATAAATTAAAATCATGATTACTTTCTCCAACTCTACAGCAATTCAAGCATAATCTTTCACGCCTCACACAAACATACATACATAATACATACGAGTTGCATGTGACTACTTTTGCAATATTCCAAGTTTGCCTTCAGTGGAATTTTGATTTTGGTGATGTTTGCAGTGTCGGGGGCCGAATATATAGAATGAAAACAAAAACCATTGAGGCTTAATAAAATGAAATAATAAATGGAGGGCTTCATAGAAATGTAAGATAAACCATAGGGACTTATCTGAATTTGAGCTCCATTTATTTAACTTCGTCCGTTAGACTTATTATTATCATTCTGCGATCATTTCCGCATGAAAGAGTCGAGAGAATTGCTCACTAGGGGGCCTATATGCAACAATAGAACGACAAAAGGTCTACTCGGAACCGGGCGATAGTATGGAGGGTCTACCCACAATTAACTTTTACAAATAAGGCTGCATGATATAAATATGTATGTGTATTCAAATTGAAAGAACCAGTCGATTGAACCATATATCATCCTAAGCCTAAGCCATCTATAGTTTGGAAGCAACTCTCAGGCCAACCTTGGCATAGGAGCCAAGCTACCAGCATGAACTCTACCAACTCATTTCACTACAAGTCTACAAATACCAGCACACGGTCACCAAATTCCTCACCTCGTCATCCACTTCCTCAATATATAAGCCATCTATTCATAGCAATGCCTACCTTCGCCTACCCCTACTACTCACCACCACCACCATCCCCACCATCATCTATACACTTCCCTCCACCTCCCATTCCATCGCTGCCACCACCTTCAAGGTGGGTCCCACCTCCACCACCTCGCAAAATGGCCCCGCCGCCACCCCACATTGCGCCTCCACCGCCACCCGGACCCCACCACACCGTCATAATCATCGTGTTTGCGTCACTCGGCGGGCTCTTCTTCCTCGCGTTCCTCGCCGCCGCTCTCTTCTGCTTCCTCGACAAGAAGAAGAAGAAGAAGAAGATGGTCCACGAGGAAGATGTGGTTAATGTCACAGACCATGTTCATGTGCACAAGACTATGGTACCGGGACCCCATGGAGAGCAAGTTGTGGCGATGACTGTCGATGAAGATTTCAACATTCAAGGGATTCTGAAGAAGAATGAGGTTCAGACTCTAGAGAAAGGTTTGGGAGTTGGAGTTGTGGCAGAACCAAGAGGTTTGAATGGTGAATCTGTTGGAGCGCAGCCAAGTTGGTCTACGACTTACTGATCATTGAGGATATGCGTGTTGAGATGCACTGTCATGTTGTTAATTCATTGGTTCGATGCTACTAGGTGCATGCATGATTGGAGCCTGTTAATTAATTCATGTGTTGTACTTAGTGGAATAAAAAAAATTATTTGATGATATCTACAATGTCTTTGATCCTGATTGTTACTAGGTTATTTGCATATGCGTTCCTACACCATAGAGTTGTAACTATTCCACCTGTACTCCAACGGTGTATAAGACGCTTTGGTGCTTCAATTATCCAATTACTGCACCTCTATTGTAGCAGAAGTGTTTATTTTCTCACTCATCTATTGTATAGTGTAACATATACTATTATGACAAATCTCCACCATAAACTAATATCAATCACACAAAAGTACAAAAAATATCGAGAACACATGAACACAAAAATATACTGGTTTGGCTTTTAGCCTACGTTCACAAGCGAATAAGGAGAATAGATTTACTAAATTGTGAGGAATACAATGTAAAGATCTCTCTGTCACTCAATCTCAAATCACAACCCTGAAAGTACTTAATCTCTCTAACAGTCTCTAACACCTGAAAGTACTTAATCTCAAATCACAACCCTGAAAGTACTTAATCTCTCTAACAGTCTCTAACACCTAGAGAGCTAACCAAATACAAAGCCAAATCAAGAACCTCTTGAATTTATTGCTTCAGCCTGCAGAGCCCGTCTCAATACTTTACTGTTGTCGTCAGATGGATTAATTGTGTGCAACCTTAATAAAGAACTATCTGATCTTTCACATGATGTTGCGACCTTAAGTTGGTGGACTAGATACAATCCCTCTTAGCAGAAGGAACACAAAAGAGAGCCATACCGAAAACCGATTTACTTCTCACGGCTTCAAAGAGTTGCGCTTCCGGCGAACTCACAGGTGTTCTAACCACCAAATAGGTTTCGATCTTCTATGAACATATATATATATATATGCTGCAACTCCAAGTCGGTTGTAATCAACGATTTAAAGAACTCTTGGTGGCCAAGAAATCTAATGAATTATAGTTCAACTTTGTCTTATCCAAAAACATGAATTACTTATCCTATCAACAATAGGAGTTGTATTTATCTTATCAATTCACACTTCTTCAAACAGTAACTATTATTAGCAGCCTTGCCACGCCCAACAAAGTACCGGGTCAAGATCGGTATTTGAGTCACACATAACATATACGACCAGTAAATAATGCAATGCTGAATAAATAAGTGAAAGCGGCGAAAGAAAAAAAAAATTACTGACATTTTAATAAGAAACTATATTCATGAAACTACATCATTAGAATGTGTTTCTGATCCATCACTCTTTTAACTAATTACAGGATATCTACGTTTCCTCTTAGCTAATAATCTGCAATGTAAGTGCAAACAGTAACGCAGATATTCAACTTCCATTAGATTGCAACTTCTATACTGATTGTGATATACCCAAAGTTCAGCATCAGTACTGAGGCTCACACTTCATCAAACATCTAAATAATGGCTACAGGAGTTATACGCTTCTTCCTGGGAGCTTTACTCGCATCAGCTTTCAGGGTTGGAGCGGATACTACCTGCTCTGCTTTGCCAGCCTCAGTATCTGTTTTTTCAACAGTTTTGGGGGCTTCTACTTTGTCAATTTCCATATTGTCTACACTCTCGGGCTTCATATTTGTTGGCTTTGTGATACCTTCTGTGGTTCTCTTTGCTTCTTCACGCGCTATAGGGAATAAGGAACAACAGCAAGAAGAAACATGAGAGAGGAATAATCAAAGACATGATACATCTTAAAAAGGGTCAATAAAGGTGACTCTTAAAGGACTCTGCCGACACACCAAAACTCCGAAGTTGTAGTGAGGATTGAGGTCATTAAATCTGTATTCTAGCATGGCCCACAGATTGAGTGTCCTTCTATGGGCCGAAACCTGGACTCACATGGCGGTACATTTTGTTTTTAGATCAGTGACAGAAATTTGTGGCTAGTAAGATTTGAACATGAATTACTCTATTACCATCTTAAAGGACCCTATCACTACACCAAGACCCCAAAGTTATGGTGAACATTGAATGTTATAATTTTATACTCTTAACACTGACAATGAAATTTAGTGGCACATTGAACAAAAATTTTGGACGTTGAATAAAGAGACTTGTTGCACCCATCAAAAGAACAGAAAATCTAGGAAGAGAACCCAAGAAAAAATAAAAATATAAGTTGAGCAGACTACGTCGCTACTGATAGATGATTTTTTTTTAATCAACTCAATGATTGGGAAAGAAGGTCATAGTCCCTTCTCATGTGAGTGAATCATTGTATGCAGACATCTTAATTACTCTTCATGAGTAACACTAACTATGCTATAATTATAGTACTACAAGACTTTGTGCATGGAGTTCTATCTCCTGAAAATACAATCAGGGTCTAAATGTCTTCATCACTGGAAAATATTACCTATGTAGAACAGGATGTAAAGTTGGCACAATTATTGCTTATTAGGGTAATTAGGTATGGTTGATGTAGCTTTTAATATTCTCTGAGTCAACTTTTGGAAACATCTTTGCTACGTCAATCAAAGTAACTCAAGCACAATGTGTAAATCAGTGAAAGAGAAAACATCAGGATGAAAAGTATTTTAATTCACAGGGGAATCACTTTCCTAGGATTCTCTACGACTTTAATATCAATCAATGTCATTTTGTAGGAATACAAGAACAATACAATTTGTGGAGTTATGGTCTTCTCTTCTGTTCTAGTTTATTAAGTCTTAAAAAGGCCAGAAACACGATTACATTAAATGAAACTACGGTAACACATTAAATCATTGAAGATGTAAGCATCGCAATGTCTTTGTGGCTTCGGAAGTCATGGATATACGAGTACACGACTAAATTTGTTACAAAATGACAACAAACTTGTGCATTAAATAGGAAACCACCATGCACCAAGTTCTTTGACGTACTTGAGGCTAGACAGCCGACATCTTAAATTATCAAGTAATAATGATATCAGCATCTATTACACTCAAGTAAAGCATCGTGTAAAGACATATCAATTATATCAGGCTATAAAGCAATTCATCTACTTGATTATTCATTCCAAAACTGCATCTAAAATTGTTATATAGCATGTAGGTACAAGGTAAAAGTACTCAATCTAATAAACGTTTTGCCTTTTACAATAAAAGCAATGGAGGCAAACTTCAACAATCTAGGTATCTCTTCGAATACAAGTATGAACAAATTTATAGGTGAATTCTAGTTCTAATAGTTGGAAAAATCATAAATAAAACAACAAAGACTACATAAAATTTAGCATACCTAGGCTTGAAAAAGGCAGGCCTAGTTCATCGTTTTCAAACTCTATGAGAGTGCAATACCCATCACGTGAGGACAAAGCAAGGTACTTAGCATTTGGTGACCTGGCAAAATGAAATAATAAAAACTTGGTTAAACAACATATTCTTGATAAGTATCTAAAACCATTCATTAAGTTGAAGAAACATAAGACACATCACGATCCAAAAAAAGGAATGCAGAAAATATACCAAGATATAATTTGTTCCAAAAGTACTTACCATGCAATATCTGTAACAGCTGCATAATGAAGTCCAGCAAATATGGCTATGGGGACAAGACTCTCCGTGTCATATATGTATAGGGAGTCCAAGGTTGCCACAGCAAAAACAACTCTATATGGAAGTTTAAAGGAACCAGCTGCTAAAGGTTAAATACAGAGTTCAATCTCCATAGTATAAATCTGGATGAATGAACGTAAGTTATAAGTATGTTTACTTTACCAGAATTAGATCCTCGTAGACAAAATAGAATGGGACAGAAGCGTACAGCAACAGTGGGTTTGTTTGCCCCAGGCAGGAGCACTGCAGGCCTAAGAAATGGAGGGAAAGCATCAATTAAGAAATCATACTATAAGGTTCATTAAAGTGTTGCGTTTTAACATTCACTATTGAACAAACACAATTTAAAGATGCTACATGAATAAACAAGTGACTTTCTCCATAAGCTTGTATTTGTGGATGTCCTTTGAGAAATGAAATTACATGTTTACAGCAATAAAGAATTCGGATAACATGCCAAACATTGAGTGCTACAGAATTTGAAACATAAGACTAAACCTTATCACAAGATAATTCAGAGCTAAACTAGTCCAATCAGACTACCAAATTGTAGTAGACAGACAGCCCACTAGTTACAGAGTTCATAGACAGAACAATTAACAAAGCTGCATTAATGAGGATAAAATTTAGAATAACCCGCTGGAAGTTATATGACTTATTATGAGTGGTAAAATTTAAAATTATTCAAGTCTTATTCAAGATATTTCCTAAATCACTTAAGTTTGTCATACTCAACCAAGAAGAAAACGCACAATACAGACATTACAAATAGATATCATACCTGGATAGATCTTTCCTTGAAATAATATATGCTGTATTCACAGTGTCAGATGAAGAGGAATATTTCTGCATACCTGAAAAAGTTGAGCAATAAAATTTAGAAATTTAGGCCCGTTAAAGACAATGTACAATTGTATATAGAAAGAAGATGCAAGAGCATGAAATAACTAAAGGTGTTTCATAATGCACATGCTTTTAACAAAACACATTGTCGTATTGACTGGTAAGGGCATTCCACATTCAGTACATCTCAGATTTTTAATTGTTAGGACTGAAACAGTCAATTGACCGAAGATGTGTCCTGATCTTCTGACATCTCCAATAATACACTCTTTTCATTATTGCTGAGAAGTTAATGGTTAATAATTCATAACAGTAGTAAAATTCAATAGGATTACAGCATCCATCGAACAAAAGGTAAAAAAGAAAAATAAGTTAAAAATTCCCTTCATGTTGTCTCAGTAGCATAATATGATTTTGCTGATACAATCCTGTCAATATATGAGATTGCTCGTTTATTTGATATAGGATAACAAGAGTAATATCCTATACATAGGATGTGTGGACTACATATGGAAGGTAGTATAATGTAGTACAATCTTTAACATCTCAAACTCACGGTTTCTTCAAAAACTGTGAGCTTGTATTGAAACAGAAATCGCCATGACCGAATAGAAGTGGATCGGATATTCGGATCTGACCAAATCAGATTGGTCAGACTTCAGCAAAATGCAACGCATTTGGAGTAGTATCGTACCAAACAGATCTCATCATTGATCTGTAGAAGGAGCTGATGGGTCACATTTTGGATTACCTACGTAAAAGAAACAAATCAGACAGCTCTTGAACTAGATTGTAGAAAAAATGGATAGGACAGATGTTGGATAGGATCTATAGAAGAAATAGAAAGGACAATCACGAATGGTAGAAGAAATGGATCTAATCTGGCTGAGTTACAGAACCAGAAGTCTGAATTCAGATCAAGTTGAAGCACTAATTGGATGTAGCCGCTTACACAAATCAGGAAAGGAGAAAAAGGACTGTGGCACTTGTTGGAAGGCTGCACAAGAAATAAATTCACATGAAAAACAGATGAAAACTTGTGTATATATCAAATTTAGAAAACAAGTGGTGGAAATCACTGCCGTGATTTGATGTATCAAAGTAAATCTCCAGAATTCTCTTTCAATTACTAATGAGCAATCACAGTAATAATAATCCTATATCCCCATGTGTACTTTAGGTTAACGCAGAGAGGGTATTGTTACAATGCTTCATAAGTCTATATTGAACAATCTTAAATTACAGCAAAATTGGACATTGCGAGATTTTATGAAGAGTAATGGTTTATTTATGGTGCAGGGCATTAGTTGACTTGTCAAGAATTAAGTTTGAATACATATTGCTGACAAGACAACAAAGCAGTCAAGGATAAAATTACTGCCAAGTTTCAAAGAGTTTGTTGACGAATGATGGTCGACGATGAACGGTGAAAACAAATCGAAGACAACAATGGAAAAGACAAGGTCCGATTGAAGTTGGGTAACAGTGGGAGATAACACAACATAATTGGAATGATTATTAGCAATGGTAGGTTGAATTGTTGAAATATTCTTGCATAATCAGCCTGGAATGCATACCATAAATAAGGAATTTCTGCTAGCGATTTTCAAAATTAGATTTCCATATATGGACTGATTTTTGTCTAATTTCCCACAAGTTTTCCAGGGAATATTTGCATGATTTGTTCACAAATTTTCATCTGAGGCCCTGTCTGTGTAAACAGCCACATCTAGTAACTGCTTCACGGTCAGTCCAAATCCAAACTTCAGGTTTTCTACTCAGTTGGATCATATCCATTTCTCTACAAATCTAATCCAATATCTGTCCTATCAGCTCTTTCTACGATCTAGATCAACATTTTTCAGATTTGTTTCCTCTACAGATCTAATCCAAGATCTGCCCAATCCACTCCTACAGATTAATTCCAAGATCTGTCTTACAAGATTCTAAAGCAGATCTGATCCATTATGTTGCTATTTGACCAGTCTAATTTGATCAGATCTGATTTACTTCTGTTCGGTCATGACTGTTTCTGTTTCAATAAAAACTCGCAATTTTTTATTTACTGTGCGTATGAAAGGATGTTAAGTTGTAGTACAGTTGTACTAAATTGTACTATCTTCCATATTTAGTCCACTAATCCTATAGAATATGAAAGTACTCTGCTCCCATATATCATATAAAAGAGCAATTCTCATGTTAACAATTAAAACCTAGGGCTTGGGTTCCTAAATCTTACAAGCCAACTTTGAATTATCATTACAATCTTTTGACTTGGTTTGGTAGGGAATTTGAGAAGGGAGGGGAGGAGGTGCATTGAGGTGGAGGGATCGACACCCCTTTTAGTCTTCACGTTTGGTTGGAGGCGAAGTAAGGGAAGGTGAATACTTTTTTAGTTCATTTTCTTCTCTAGTCTTCTCCCAACTTGAAGGAGTTATTCTCTCTTAAGTTTTAATTCATTTTTCATTGTCCCTGCCCTTACCTCGCCTCCCTTCACCTCCCCCTCCAAAACCACCTAACATGATTTTTTCTATTTGTCCCTCGCCTCCCCTCCCTCCCTCCCTCCTACCAGACCTCAAAACAAAAAGATAATATGCCTAGTAAAACAAAGGGGAGCACAACTGTTAGCTTGACCTGGTCTAAGATGACCAAATCAACGTTCGTTTGAGAAGAACGTGGAGAAAAATTGGTCTAAGATGACCAAATCAACGTTCGTTTGAGAAGAACGTGGAGAAAAATTGGGTTTGTTGAGAGAAATTCTCTCAGGAGCCGTTTGAGAAGAACGTGGAGAAAAATTGGGTTTGTTGAGAGAAATTCTCTCAGGAGCGGTTATGAGGGGGTGGAGATAATGGGTTCTGGCTCCTATATAAAGAGGAGTAATCTCCTTGAGAAAAATGCAACACATAAACAAAATCAAACCCTTACTCTATTGTAGTTTTGACATGTTTGCACTTTATTGGTAGAGATGGGTATGTATTCTTTTCTTTATTTATTTCTTATGACCAACCTCGGGTTTAATATTTAGGGATCTACAATTTGAGATACAAGGTATATACATGAGGGTTTCCTTGTTTGGATTATTTCGCTCGACGTACCTATGCTCGTGTTGTATTTCTCTAAGTACTAAAACCCATAAATGTTTGTGTAGATGATTTGTATTATTATATATTATCTGTATTTTTATATACAACGAGCCCTATCCCTTGGGGTTGGTTGTGATGTTGCTCGCTAGCGCTTTGACGCTCGTTGTCCCTCCCCCTTTCAGGTAACGAGCCAGGAGCCCGGAGAGTCGCAGGTTGACGGCGATGCACTTTAGCTTCAGCCATCTATTTTAGTTATATTTTCCTTGAGCTCCACTGTAGACTTCTGTTTAGACATTTGAGAGTTTTATTCTAGAAGTTGTAAAGGCTGTGTGCCTTATTTTCTCTTGTCAGACATTTTGTATTTGAGACTTGATGAGAAACTCCAGTTTATCTATTTCAGACATTTATTTGTACTCCAACATATTAGATGGTGAAATATTAATTTGATCTCTATTATTTCATCAGTTGATTCTTGTATAACCTTTTACTTGCTTTGTACTACACCTGTTGTTGATTCCACTACAGAGATAGAAATTGTGATGGTGAAACATGTTATTGCACGGTGTGGTGCATGGCAGGTTTGATATTTCTGGTTTCACCTCGGACTGCAGCCTTGTGTGAACCCAGGGGCGTCACAGTTAGTATCAGAGCTCTAGTCCCAGTATCCTTAGGATCATCCTGTGTCGAGTCGTGGAGCTAGGTTAGAGTTTCTTAGGATTCATGTGTATGAGAAAAATGCAACACATAAACAAAATCAAACCCTTACCCATTACCGGAGCCCCTCAAAATCTGTTCTTCTTCTTTGATTTCGATCACTGGTATCAGAGCCAGGTTGATCTCATCGCCGCCCCACTTCGAGCTCTGCGTCAATCGGCCACCTCGACTACTCTGCTGCGACGATCGATCGACGACGACAACTCGACGACTCTTGTTGCTTCGATCGACAGCAACGACTGCGCCTCCATCGACTTCGAAGACTCTGCAATCAACAACCACGACGACGAGGAGGCTGCTGTGACGTCGACGACTGAAGGAGATCGGAGGCCTCGAGATCGAGATTTTTTTTTTTGGAGAAGAATAGAGAAGTCAGCCGCCTCTTGCTCTTTGAGGTTAAAAAACCCTAGCTAAATCAGATGCAATCACTTAACCGAAGACCAACTCTTCAACTTCTGTTTCTCTTTGAAATCAAAGCCAAGCCCATCTGTTTTAAATCAAAGTCAGGCCCAATACCCCACAACCAGCAAAGCCCATTTTTTTTGAATCAAAGCCAAACCTTTCCATCTTTATTCATTTAATCAAAGTCAGGCCAGTCATCAGGCCCACGTTCACCTCAACAAACCATTCTCACTTGTTAAAGTCAGCCTTTTTCCATTTTTAAAAAAAAAACCAGCCAGTTATAGTTGTCTTGATCTAGTGGAATCCAACAATAGCATCAGATCATCTCCAAATCCGGTCAGAAACGACGACAAAACTTCGACAAGTGCTGATCCAATCAACTCCGCTGAGTGATAATCTCGCACAAATTGGAGTCTCTTTCATCAACTCGGAATAATCAGTTTTAGCTCTACCGAATGGTTAGTAAACTCGTTCTATCAGAACTAGGAAAAATTAACAAATTTAATGACAGTAATTATGATATGTGGCATAGAAAAATAGGGTATGCTCTTATTCATGACAATATTAATGATATAATTTCTTAGGATTCATGTGTAGAGTCCGCTAAGGATTTCCTAGTATGAGTGAGGACGATATATGCGTATATCACAAAATTTTGAAATTTTTTTTTGTGACAACCATTTTTTTGTTTAAAGTATATGTGTGAATACTATGTGATGTAAAAATCATATTGTGATGAACTATGTATGTACGTCTACAGAAAAGAAAGGGTTTGAACAGTGAAAGTCGAAAGATAAAAAGGCGAAAAGTCT